AAAGAAGCAGAGATTCTGATCTAAAGCATGATCATCTAGGACTAGAAACAGTATATGGACGTGTCTGGACAGTGAAAAATAGGGGAGGCATATTTTAATTAGAAGAAATGAAATCCTTGTGGCAAAGAACAGGTTTTATTCAGATATAAAACTTTAAAATCCAAAATAAAGCCAAGAACTGACTCTATAGAAAAAAGGTACAACAACAAGTTATCTACCTAAATGAGGATATGAAGCACAGATGAGAGGTAATTCCAGCTTCTAGAGAACACAAGCACAAAAGCAATAAATGTTACCAGGAGAGGAAAAGGCCAGGGCTGTAAGCATAGTCTTCTAGGCTAATCTTTTATTTTTATTATTATTATTTTTTTTTGTATTTCCTAGAGATTAGTGTTAACTCCTTTTCATATCTGTAAGGACCTATTTAGCCAGAGCGACTCCATCTTGGTTAAAAAGCCATTTTGTTGTTTGTGCAGTAAAACTTAAACTGACCCTGCCCCCCCCCCACACCCAGAGAAACTTACTTAGAAGCAAGTCTGGGAAACCAGTAAAATATGGTCGGCCAGTTCCTAATAGAGCCCAGAATACAAGGACGAGTCAGGCCAGGTGGAGATATCCAATCAGTAAAAAGCACACATATTGTCCCCTAACCACCAAAGAATGTAAACCCTGCCTTTTGGGCGCCAAACTTGAGCGCCAGTTCTGACCAGAGTAATCGGTTCGTTCAAACAGCTACTAAAGGGTAAATTGTAATTCAACTGGCCACCTGCGTGTGGCCTAACATGACTATGCAATGTTACAATCTCATTTGGCCACCTGTGTGTGGCCAGGCTTTTGCTCTATAAAAGTTAGTCTGTAAGATGGGGAGGGGTCGCTCTCCTCCCAGGGGGCCCTGACGGGTCAGTCAGTCGATTCTTGAGCCTGTAAGCTGGGGGTGGTCGCTCTCTTCGGAGATGGCCGTGACCGATCAGTCTGACTTCTAATGCTTGGCATAGAATAAAGCTTTGCATAACTCTAACTTTGTTTCAGTCTCGTTCCCCTGACCAATCAGTCTGACTTTTAATACTTGGCATAAGATAAGGCTTTAAATAACTTTCACTTTGTCTCAGTCTCGTTTCTTTTAATAACGGACCTAACAATATCCTTGGAAGGAAATGATTGTAGGAGGTCTCTTTGTCTCTCTCTATTGGTCCGTCTCCCTTTTTATGACATATTCCCTTATGCGTTCAGGATGACGATCTCACTCCCACCTTAGATGCCTGGGTTTTGCATTGATGTGGTCCACAGCAGTCTTTGTCCTCCCATTTCATTCACGTAGCAGTCCATTCATTTAACAAGCCTGTGCTGAGTTTCTCAGAGACTTGTTGCATTCTTAATTTGGCTTCTTTTAGAGCTGAGTTTCAATATCATGAAAATGCGTGCTTATTTTTGTCATATGTTCCAAGAGGAAAATAGATTTTTACATAGAGATGTTCACCAAAGCATGTAATGTGTAAGTCATGGGATCCCTTTATCTTTATGAGGTCGGTACTTAAGCCACTTCATGGTTAGAGATCAGGAGAAGTTAAAGAGTACTGCGTTCCTAGAAGTTTAAGAATAATAGCATTGGGGGGCGCCTGGGTGGCTCAGTGGGTTAAAGCCTCTGCCTTCGGCTCAGGTCATGATCCCGGGGTCCTGGGATTGAGCCCCGCATCGGGCTCTCTGCTCAGTGGGGAGCCTGCTTCCTCCTCTCTCTCTGCCTGCCTCTCTGCCTACTTGTGATCTCTGTCTGTCAAATAAATAAATAAAATATTAAAAGAATAAAGAATGACAGCATTCAGGAGACTTACAATTTAGGCAATTTTTATAGATTAAGATCACATATTTAACATCGCAGTGAAGCAACCTTTTGAAAAGAAGTCTTTGGCATCAAGAATATCCCTGTTTCTATTTCCATCCTCCTCTGGACCAAGAGGGAAACTCCTACCAGAGTGAAATGATCTGGCCAGGCATTCGAAATACTGCTGTCATTCTGTGAGGGTGTGGAGAAGGTGCTATGGCCCTGTTCCAGAAGCCAGTGCTTCTTTGTCTATCTATAAGAGAGTCTGCTGTTCTTCCTTTTTGGTAGAGGTTGAAATAACTCTGGGACTCTCCAGGTCAGCTAGAACTTCAAGAAGAGGATAAAGAAGGTCTGCCTTGTAAGTCCAGTCAGAGAAAACGAGTTGAGGGGTCTATGTGTCTGCATAGGATGAAAGGGCGGGGATTCCACAGTCTCTGGCCTCCTGAGATTCCTTCCACAGCCTCTGGAGTTTGCAGAATGTGCTGATTTTTGTAGCTCTTAACCTCGAGATTTCTAGATGGCATTAGGTTCAAAATCGGAAGGAGCCCCAATTTCCTGAGTGCTTTGCCCAGACGGGCCTGCCAGCAGCCGACCTCGGTTTCCTGGCCCCCCACGGCTGCATGGCACAGTGGGAAGCTCAGCTGCCGCGGGGGTCCCGGCTTCTGGAGCAGCTGCTGTCTCCATTGCTCCCGCCCCATCTTCGCTGCCACTCTGCCTCCCAGACTCCCTGCGGGTCCTCAGTCGGTCCTGTTTGTCAAGGAGAGCATCGCTGGTAGGAATTCGAGATGCTTTTCGGTCCTAGGTTTGCCGAAAGGGTGGCCTCCCCTGCGAAAGTCCCCCAGTGCGCTTAGTGCTTCCACCGTTGGGAGCGGGAGACCTGAGCTCGGGTCCCGGCTCTGCCCTTGCCGTCCTCTGGCCGTGGCCATACCTGGGCCTCTAGCGCCGCCTCTGTTAAAGCGGCCCAGTGGTTTTGATGGTTTCTATGGGCCCTTGCAGCTCTGACATGTTTAAATGGGACTGGGAGCCTTCAGGAGTTGTCGAGGAATTATAAGTATACAGTTAAGCGACTCTGCGAACTGGTCTGCCGTGGTTTAGGAGAGCGGGGAGAAAAGCCTTTCTTTTTCCCTGGATGGAGCAAGTCGGACAGGGCTCTGTTCCTGCCATCACAGAACAACGCACCTTCCCAAGAACCCAAACCAGCCCCACTTAAGCATCGAGTTAGCATGACTGCACCGCACGAACACGCTTTTCTTCCCGCAACAAGAGCTCCGCTTTCATCTGTCCTTCCAGTAGTGCAGCGGCTTGTCTCCGCCCGTTCAGGTGAAGTGCTCCAGTGACTCTGAACGCACTGATGACTCTTTCACTGCCACGGCACGTGCCCCAGGTAGAGTCTAGCGAGGCCCTGACTCCGAAGTCGCGGGCCCTCAGGTGGCTCGTGATGAAGCCCGTCACATTTGAGCTCAAGGGCAAGAGGATAACTGGGGCTCAGAGCTTTCTGGGCCCGGGATCTTCTTTCTCTGCCGCCAGGAAGACAATCACAGGAGGTGTAAAGCCGCCCCCCATCGCTCCCTTTGTCAGGGGTAGTCTCCATGGCAACCAGGCCAGAATGGCTCCCTTTGACCAGCTGCAGAGTGCTGGGGTTACAGACCCTCCGTCATTCAAACGTGAAGTCACTGATTTCGAGCGCGAATCAGTACCCTCCTCAAACCTAACTGACGATTGTAGCTAACAATAGCAGAGCTGATTTCTTTTGTTTATTCTGGAAACCTCCATCCCGCTCATTATTGTTATTTATTATGGCCTCCTTTCAGGATACTTAACACAAGGCTAATTCCTGCTCTGGGATGAACACGGGTTCAGATTCAGCTAACATTTGTCGAGCCTCTCCTGGTTTGGTCATGTAGCAGGCGTGGACAAAGCAAATTATATACGGTGTTTTAGTTCACTCACAAAATACATTAATGCGATTCAAGTTTAATGAACATGTTGGTGTTCGGCACGCAGTATTCAGTCCTTGAATATTTGTTGAATGAAAGAATGAAAGCAGGAAATCACAGACTGTCAAGGTCAACAAGGGCCTTTGAGAGCATCCTGTCAAACTTCATTGTACAAATGGAGAAATCAGAGCCCCAGATGTGGAGTGATTTATTCAAGGCCATAGCCACCGCTGTTTAAACTCGGTTCTGTCCTAGGCGGATCCAGACCACTGCCCTCTCCAGGGCACAGACCACATCGCCTCAGATGAAAGCCAGTGATAGTAGAGCTTCAGACTCTGATGTGTCGCATTGTCCTTGGACAACTTATGCTCAGCGTTCTGCTGAATGTGGTGTTTGTGCTACTTCTCTGTGAATGATGTGACAGGAAATGCTTCCTGAGAAATCTGAAAATACGTTAATTGGCACTTATGTTTGAAAGACTAAATTAAAAGGGATTCACTAGTAAATCTTGAAAGAAATCAGCAAGAGTGAGACCTGGCTGGGGGGTGAGGTGATGGCTACAGCTCAGTGGGGTCAAAGCATTCCCAAACGTGATTTCTTCAGGAGTCTCACAAATCATGAAATACAGGGTGACCGATTCACATCAACCGAATTCACAAAAAGCTGCGCTATGAACTAGAACATCAGTTTATTAACTCATAATGGAAGCCATTCTAACACATCAAAGTACCTGTGTAGGTTGGTCAGCAACCCTATAGAAAATTCAACATGGAAGGTCTAATTATAATCGGTCGCCCGGAGAGCCAGTAAAGGGGGAGTGAGCCACCAGTGCACCCTTCTCTACAGTGGGGATATGCTAGGTTAGGAGACATGACTCTCATGTTCTCTGGTCCAGGACAACTTCCTCCTCAACCCTGGATGGTACTGGAGATACACTGAGTTGATGTCACCCTTCTCAGTTACCTCCATCACAACACAATGACAAGCTCTTGGGGAACTCTTTTGATGGGTCATTCCTTCCATCATGTGTGTATTTGAATAACATGACTCAGAGGAACTTTTCCTCCAAGATCTTCGGGCGCCTCACTTCAACCGGATGCTCCGAAAAGCAAGTCAAAAACCAAACTGAAAGCAAGTCTGGGTTTGACAGACATGTGTAACTGTGGACAGCAGTAAAACAGTGTGATGTGTCCCTTCCCTCCTTTAATCCCTTGTAGGGAAAAGGGCAGAGAGAGGAAAAGGGAGAGAAAGGGAGAGAGAGAAACTGATTTCGGGATTAGGAGATGGAAGAGATAGAGGAATTGGGAATAAGGGTACAGAAAAGGAAGTGGTGTTTTCTGGTGAGTTTCAACCTGTCAGCTCCTCCTGTGTTCTTCCTTTATGAATGTGGTGCCGACCTTGTCGTGAACTAAACCAAAGAGCCCAGATACAGATCTAAAACATTTTGATGATTTTGGTGGGAGAGGTAAGAAAGATCTGGAACATGGAATGCTGCTAAGGAGGGGAAGTCAAAGAGTTGCTCTGGTGGAGAAACGTCATGCCTCATGGGCAGGATGAAGAACTTCACTTCCCAGTTTTGTCAAGGGCTAGACCTGTGGGAATGGTCACAATTTCCTATCACAGTACGTTTCTTTAGTGATTCCATTTTCTAATCTACTTACTCTAGCAAAATAGGAATTCTAGACAGATTTCTCCCCAGAAAGAAGCAGTATTCATAGGATGTATGCGGTCAAATCTAAAGAGATAGGAAAGCGATTAGTAAAGGACCTTGTCCATTTTCAACCCCGAATACGGCAACCTTGGAAAACAGATTTTTCTTTAAGTGGACTTTGTCTTTTCTTTGATCCAGTTAACATACCGGGACACCTTTGTATATATGCCATATTTTCCTTTCATTGCACACTCTTCACCCCAGCTAATGATTCCAGTTAAGAAATTGACACCTTCCACTTCGGTGACGTGGGGCCCCCCGCTATCTCCCTGGCATGAATCTTTACCGCCCTCATGGAAGCCAGCACAGAACATGTTATTATAGATGGTGAACTTTGTGGAGCGAAGGCATGTGGCTCGGTCAACAAGTGGAACTTTAAGGTACTGGAGAACTGAAGCCGATCTCCCTCTGTTGAAGACTCTCCCCCAGCCACTCACATAGCCGGATCCAAACTTGAGGAAGATGTTCGTGTATTCCCTGTCAGCAATGCAAATAGGGGTCACATAGCTGTTGAGCGTTAAGGGTTCATCCAGTTCCAGAAGGGCGATGTCATGGTTGTATTTATTTATAGTCGCATTGTAGCTGTGGTGAAGAATAGTGCGAATCACGTTTCTCTTTTGCTCTGTATGTTCCTTCACCTTGGTGTTATGTTCACCTACGGAAAGAAAATTTCTCTTCGGTCACAGGTAGACTTACACGTAAGGAAACAGCTTAGCCAAGATTTTCGGCATCCCTGAATTAACTGGCAGCCAAGTGTCAACGATCTCATTCTTATATTGCTAGGATTTTGGTAAAATGTAATGAGGAGAAGTGAGTTGGGGGAAATTGGAGAGGGAGACCAATCATGAGACACTGTGGACTCTGAAAAACAAACTGAGGGTTTTGGAGAGGAGGAGGATGGGAGGTTGAGTGAAGCTGGTGGTGGGTATTATGGAGGGCACGTATTGCATGGAGCACTGGGTGTGGTGCATAAACAATGAACTCTGGAACACTGAAAAGAAATTTAAAAAAATAAATTTTTTTAAAATGCAAAAAAAAAAAAAAAACAAAAAAAAAGTAACGAGGGCCCATGCAGACATTTCAGACCAAAAACCCAATGGGGACCAACATGGAGCTGGCGTGTTCTCCCATGCTGGTATAAATCTTACATTGTTCAAGGGGGTAATTAATCTACTTGGCATGAATTACCCTACACTCCTAACTTCAAGTATTTCGACCCCTTTTCTGAGCACAGATGATATATTCATTGGGTCATTCAAAGGCTGTGCCAGGCCCCAGAGGTACAAAGGCGAATGATACGACATGGCTTTGGGGGAAGGCTCAGTCTGGTGGGGAAATGCACACATCATACGTAATTGTACCCCTTTGAGATGGGGGCGAAACTGGGCACGCCGAAAGAACTTTGGGGGGCTTGGAGGATGGAAGAAGTTCGGGTCTGGAAATATGGCTCCCCTAGCACTAACCCAAATTATTTTGCAAAGAACTTCGTAGACCTTAGGAAAATATGATGCACCCATCATATAGAAGGTCTAGTGATCCTGCAGATTCCTACCCTTTTTTGTTTATTTACCTGCAACCACAGTAATTTTATCACCAGGCTCAATGCAGTGGGCTGCAGTTACCACCCATTTTTCATTGATGATGGACCCTCCACAGAACGCATCGATCTTCCCATTCAAAAGGACCTGTGGAAACAAAATCGTGAAACTGACTACCTAAGGTATTCGATCCAGAACAAAAGAAATACGGGTGCTGTTAACAGGAGTGGGCACAAAGTTTGATTCCAGGTGCTGGCAGAGCTGGAGTGTTTCTGGAAAGTGTCAGCTTTGCAGATGAGTTAGTGTTTCTGGAGCGCACTCAACAAAGCCATTTCTGTAACTGACTTGAAGAGGATGTGCAGGGAGAGCCAGGGGGAGCTCTAGAGGAGGCAAGTTAGGAGGGGGCGGCTTCTTTTGGTGATTTGGGGCCCTTGGATGCCTTTTCCAGGTAAGTCGGATTCTCTGATGGCACAGATTGCTTCATGGGAATATGGCAGCTAAATTTGGAAATTTAATTGACTCCTCCAGATCCATTGTTACTATTGAGTTTTCTGTCGCTGCATGAGGATATCGTGCTACAGGATGATTTAAGATAGTACTGATCTTTCCCTCGGGTCTTTTAAAGCCCTTTGTAGACTATGAATTGAGACCACTGGCCTCCATAGAACTGTGCTTACAGCCATCCAGGCGGTAAGGAACAGCAGGACACATGCACTCCTTCTCTTTTCCCCTAGCCCTATTCCACTCCCCCCTGGCCGGCCAGTAAGCTGCCTCTGTCCTGAAAGATCTCCTTAGCTGCTGTGCTTGGGCCAGGTTGGAGGCGTTCGGGGGCTGGTTTGAGCCCCGGCATTATTAGACAAGAGGCCAGTCCATTCTTTCATCCGTACATCGATTATATAACCAGAGTGGACAGTGGATATTTTTACCGCCTCAATATCTAGATCAACTCGGAGAATTTTTCACTTCCAGTGTGCCCAAGGGCCTCGAGCCACCACTTCAGGAAGAAAGCTGAGAAGTATGGACACTAGAGGGCGCACTGAACATTTGGTAAACCTTACGCGGGAGCCGACGAGCTCTTACAAACTCATGCTCTTTTTCTAAAGCACACCTCATCTCACACTATAAATCCGTTTCTCAACTAAGGAAAAAAAGTGATCAATGGCCTCAAGTGTGAGTCTGGGAAGGTCCTTGGTGCATATTCTAGTGAAGATTCTTTTTGCCTTGAATTCAATTTACTGAACACCTACTAAGTCCTAGACAGTCAAGCGTCAGCCTCCTACCTGGAGAACTCTGGGGTGGACTCACGGCAAGCCTCTGACCCCTTTTGCTTTTCTTTCCTTTTCTAAGATTTTATTTATTTATTTGACACAGAGAGAGAGAGAGACAGCAAGAGAGGGAACACAAGCAGGGGGAGTGGGAGAGGGAGAAGCAGGCCTCCTGCCGAGCAGGGAGCCCTATTTGAGGCTCGATCCCAGGACCCTGGGATCATGACCCCAACCCAAGGCAGACGCTTAACGACTGAGCCACCCAGATGGCCCTGACCCCTTTTCCACACTTTACTTTCTCATTTTCTGGCTGTTGTTTTTTGTACAAGTATATGTAAATAAATAAATGCTTTATGTAAAAATATAGGAAAACTCACATAATAACATAATAAACACCTGTGTAGCCTCCATCATCCAGACTTAACAGTCATTCTTAATTTTTTAGAACATTTATTGATCGCTTACTATGGACTAATCACTGTGCTAAGGCTTATGTACATTTACTACAACACTTTGTGGAGTAATATTAATATGCCCATTTACAGATGAGCAAACCAAGGTTTAGATACGTACATTAACTCCTTTAAGGTCAGTGGTGAAGCTATAATGCAAAGCCTCGTCTTCCGGCCTTCAAAGTCTATGCTCCTAAGAGCACAGCGTGTCTCCAAGTGCGGTTGGGCCAATGGCAGTAGAATCATCAGGATGCTTGTAAAATCCAGATTTGGAGCCCCCCCCCCCTCGGCAAATAATCAGAATATTTGGTGGGTGTGACTGGAGGAAATGAAGATCTCCAGAAAATCCCTATGCATAATTAAGTTTGAGAAATTCTGTTTCCGAATTTCCAAGGCTTCATGACCTTTATGTTTCAAAAGTGCTCCATCTACACAGAACTGGCCACATAATTTGTGGGGCTCAGTCAAAAGTGAAAATGTGGAATCCCTTGTTCAAAAGCCAGGAAAAAACATGCCATTGAAAATACTTAAATACAATTTTTTTTTTCTTTCCTCTGTGGTCTCTTGCAATCTGTCATGGGGTTTTTATTTTTTTATTATTTATTTATTTTTTTAAAAAAGATTTTATTTTATGTATTTGAGAGAGAGGAGAGAGAGAGAGAGAGAGAAAGCATGAGTAGGGGGAAGGGGTAGAGGGGAGGGGGAGGGACGAGCAGACTCCCCGCTAAGCTGGGAGCCTGACATGGGGCTCCATCCCAAGACCCCGAGATCACCACCTGAGCCGAAGGCAGATGCTTAACCGACTGAGCCACCCAGGCACCCCAAGGGGTTATTTTATTTTATTTTATTTTTTTAAGTAGGCTGTACGTCCAGTGTGGAGCCTGACATAGGGTTTGAACCCACAACCCTGAGATCAAGACCTGAGCTGAGATCAAGAGTCAGCTGCTTAACTGACTGAGCCACCCAGGTGCCCCCATGGTGTTTTTAATGTTACTACTTCATGTCATGCTTTTTCAGGCCTCGGGGCTATTTGCTGGGAGAGTACAGACACTAACGGGCGCCCGGGAGCTGCCCCCTGTGCTTTGGCATGCAAGCACAAATACCCTTGGCTACCATGTCTCCCTCCTACCAGTCCCATGTCGCAGCAGAGGAAGGTAAGTCAATCGGCCCTTCTTGCTGGCCCAGGGCACCAACCAACAGTGGAGGCGTGATTCCCAAGGGATTACAGCTTCCATGGCGGGACGTGCTCAGCACCTGCAATGGAGGTGGGCAAGAGGCTTGCCCCCACCATCCACCCTCCAAATGAGCTGTGACACACACCTAAGATGCTATGTAGCCATGCCCCGTCCCCAAATGGCACAGAGTGTGTACACCCAACCTCGACCCTCCCTGTGCTGGTGCAGGAGGAGGGTGACGATGATGGCTGAGGGGGGTATGCCAGCATGCCGTGAGCTGAGGGTGGCAGTGGCCATTGGGCATGTATGGGGAGGAGGAGGCAGGCCTGGCCAACGAACCAGGTGACAAGGGAGTGGGAGGTCGAGAATCCATCCCAGGGAGGTGGTGAGAAGTTCCACAGAGGTAAGTCGACATCTCTCAGTCTAATGGGTTGGTTAGGCCAGACTGAATGATATCCACGGCCCCTGGGCACAGAGACTATGATGTAGCTTGTCTGACTCCTGGCAAAGACTTGCTGCCTGGAGCTTCTATTCCTTTCTGGTGGATGGCTGAGAAATAAGATTGTGGGTTTTTTGAGCCTGAAGACTGTTGTTGTTGGTGGTGGTGTTTTTTGTTTTTTGTTTTTTTGTTTTTTTGCCAATCTCTGATTGGTATTAGAAATTTTAGCAAACGTCTTTGCCAAGAAAAAGCCCTAAAATATATTTGCATTTAAAGATATTACAAATGACTAGATTTTGGAATGTTTGCTTGGCTACTGCAGGATCACAGCTATCTAAATATGAGCTATTTGGGGATGAGCTGTCTGCTTGGCCAAGGACAAGTTCTTGTAAGACATCACTTTGGAAAATGAAGGGAAAAATGGGAAAGCATATGTTCTGAGCAAGGCATCCAAGTTCTGATCTGTCAACCCCTTTCATGTTTGTCCTATGCTAATAGGAGCCTGTTTTCTCTCTTTCAGACACATACACAGATGCCCACCAAACTCACCCACATCCATCTACAAAGTACACATTCACATAGCTCTTCTGACGGACGCTCTTCATTGATAATGCCACCCTAGAGCACTAGCTGTCCCCCAGCTATTCTCTTCCTAACCTTTAACTTGAATCTGGCCTTCCCCTGTGATTTTCAGTAAACTCTTCTCTCTATGTAGCCACCTCCAGCTTTCCAATGACATCTTTTTTCCTGTTTGCACACTTGTTCTCTCATATAAAAAGCAAAACCATTTCTGCACAATGTACAGCTTGTTATGCCCACCGGTGTGACTCACCCAGCCATTGGTCCGACTTCATTTTTCTGGGCACAGAGGGGATGCTCATTTTCTTTTTCATTTTTGGTTTTTAATGATTAACTACACTCATCATTGAAATAGCTTTCATCAATCCATCTTAGAGAATAATAATCTAAATGTTCTGTCCAAAATAGTTTTGTGGGGCCAGGTGAGATTACATGTGTCATGTTTTTGTTTCTCTTAATTGAAACTTTATCATTTGGGGGTTACTTTTTCCAGGTCAGGACGTGTCTATAGTCTTAGACTCCTCGTATAAAATCTTTCTCCCAGTCCACCCCCTTTCCAGTGTAAAGGGAGAAAAAGAAAAAGTTCTGCTTCATACATAGGGTAACTGTGTGCTGTCTTCCATAGGGGTGTGTCTTAATCTGATGGAAAGGGTTGGGTGTGTGTAGATAGCCCTCCAGGTCAAGGCCTTGGGTACATTTAAGGATGGCTTCAGGCCTAAATTGAGGAAAGCCGAGACTGGGGAAAATGTTGAGAGGTTTTTGAAGATTCTTTAGGTCAAGAACAGAATACGGAATAGACAGACAGCTTCTCAAGACATTTTGCTGGTTGAAACAGTTGCATATTAGCAATTGTATGTGATACAACCTAATGTAAAGGTTAAGGGAAGCTTAATTCACTGCTTGGCTTCTATTGTATTCTATTTTTTCCAATCCGGTAAAATGATCTCCAGATTATTAAATGTAGAATAACTATGGCTAATACAGAGCTGAGGTCCATGATGAAACAGAAAATAGAAAGACCATGTACTTCACATTCAAGGCCAGACAGATCCAAACCCAGAACAGAACGTGGGGGAGGAGCTCTTGGGGCAAGTTTGCCCGTGCCCAGAATTATTGGCTGACAGGGTCAAGGGCAAGGGACCAAAACCGAATTAAAGCTTTAGAAAGCCAAAACATGGTGTTGCTTTCTCAAATTTCTCTTTTACACTGTTGATGAAGGTGGTCTCGTAGTACAGGTGTTTTGATTTCCCTTTTCTCTAATGTTCAAAGGTTTTCATAGCTTCCCTATGTAGTATGAAATTTGAGTCCTGTTTTTGTTTTCCGCTCTAAAGATAATAGTGACTCTAGAAACTATCCTTTCTGTCCCTGTGTCCTGCGCTTCACCCTCCAGCTTCCTCTCCCGGCTCCTGAAGTGTCCCAGCAGAGTCCCTGTCCCCTCTCCCTGAGCTCTCTAGAGGCTCTGAACCCTCCGCTGGTGGGAAAATGAAGGAAACTGGCCTCACGCCCCCGCCCGCCGCAGGGAGGTTAGAGGTCAGGCAAATCCCCGGTGCCTTTGACCTATAGGGGTCGGGGTGGGGCTGGCCGGGCTGGAACCCGGAGGGGATTATGGGAAGCCCCGGGGCAGGGGGCGGACCCAGTGCGGCTTGGCCTCCAGCCTGGAAGCAGAGGGGAAAGCCCTCAGTCAAGGTAAGGACCGAACGCGGCCACGACCACGGCCGCGGCCACGCTTGAGCTGGGGGCCAGGTGAGCTTCACTTCTTAGGGTCCCAAACCTGGCTGGAGTGGCAGAGGTCCGCTAGCCTGCCCTACTGTCCCACCAGGTGAACCAGGGTCCTCGACACTCCCCACGGGTTTACCAGGCCGGGGCCGTTGCCAGCTCTTCACGTGAACAAAACCCGAGTTTTCCCCCAAAGCCGCGCAGCCCCCGTCACCGACGTGGGGTTGGAGAGGCTTTTCTTAACCGGGCCCAGAATCTGCTTGCCTGCCTCTGACTTTCACCCATAAACCCTCAAAGCAAAAGCCGCCCTCTCCCTTCCCCGTGGCCCCTTAGCTCTTGCCAACAGCTAACTAAAACCTTTTTCTTAGCGCACTAAATCTCTCCAGCTTGACGCTGTTCATTACTCTAGATGACAGCGACCTCTCTGTGTTCTCTGTGTGATTTGTTCACCCACGGAGTCGCTTTATTCCCCGCCCCCCCCTTTTCAGGAAGCATGGGAATTGGGAATCCTTTCTGGGTGGTATTACTGAACTGTTTCGTGTTCCCGAGCCGTAGACCTATTTTGGCTGTGGAAACCCCAGCTGATGCCTGGCCTTCTCGGGACGCCTTGGCTACAGCAAGTGTGTTGCCGTCTTGGCGGCACATCAAGCATTTCCACCTTGCACAGGAGTGGGGGATGTGCCACTGGCCCATCCACAAAGGACAGACTCCGGTTTATCTCCTGTTGCGTCTTTGAAAGTGACTTTTGTACACTTAGTTTATCTCCTGTTTTTGAAAACTAGTAACCTTTTGTGAGACAGTGGGTGGAGGTGGGTGTGGAGAGACAGCCCTTGGGTGAGAAGGAAACTGCAGAACAATGGTAAGGTCTTTCTCAAGTGTTCTAGAAAGGAGCTCAGCTCTATGCCTTTGAAAAAGACTTAAAGTTAGTGCTTTGTGCCTCTACAGTCAGTAATCCTATTTCATGTGGATGAACTAGGGAGTCAACATGTGCATGAGTGGTCTTGAACATTCCAAATGGTCTTAGCTATGCATGATGGGGAAGAGTTAATAGGTGTACTAACTATGTAAGTGTGCAGTGAAGATGACATGAAAAGATTTGAAATGATGTGTATCTTTTATATCTTCTTCCTTACCAGTACACCTGTAACCATCATCTAACAGTTTCTTCTACTTAAAAAATATAGCTTGCTAGAGTTACTAAAATTTCTATTCGAAAAGACTTGATTTGTTAAAACACTGGCAAGCATCTAGCTTAAAGGGGGTGGGTGGAAAATGGAGAGATTATATGACTAAATTGAGACTTTATACCCCCCCCTTTAGCTATTATCTGAGTGTGTTTGCCAATTTCATTTATGGGTTGACAAGGGGACAAAGCTAAGCCCACAATGGGAGCATCCTGGGATATTTTTTTAATCCTGGGGGTTTTTTTGTTTGTTTCTTTTGTTTCTTTTTTTAAAGAGAAGTCATCTTTTAGGTAATAAAACACCCCTGGCTTTGCGGATCCTTCCCACTCTAGGGACTGCTTTATGTCCCACAACCCCGAGGAAGATAATTATTATAAAGTAGGATCTTTTGTTCCAACCACCTATCCCTGGAAGTTGGATACATAATGAATAAGAATGTGCAAGAACACAAATAATAAAATTAGATAGAATTAGATACATGGATGTTAAATAGAATGAAAGCGTAATTAGAGTGGCTGAATCCAGTAGTGATTGTTCAAGGAAAGGTCAATGGGGAAGATCATTCTTACAAAGAATCATGAAGGAGAACAGAGATGTGGATGAGTGAAGGAAGAAGTCATGGTGGGTGAGGGGAGCAGTGCTGGTAGGATGCCTGGATAAGGGATAGAGGGGGTATCAAGGAACACACAGTGTATTTTGGTGGCTGTAAGATCAAGTCCAGCAAATATTCTTTTTTTAAAAAGATTTTATTTATTTATTAGAGAGAGAGAGAGCGAGCATGAGAGGGTCAGAGGGAAAAGCAGACTCGCTGCTGAACAGAGAGCCTGACGTGGGACTTGATCCCAGGACCTTGGGATCATGACCTGAGCCGAAGGCAGATGCTTAATAGACTGAGCCACACAGGTGCCCTCTGACAAATATTCTTAAAAGCAAATCCAAGGTGGGGCATCTGGGTGGCTCAGTCGTTAAGTGTCTGCCTTCAGCTCGGGTCATGATCCCAGGGTCCTGGGATCAAGTCCCACATCGGGCTCCCTGCTCAGCAGGGAGTCTGCTTCTCCCTCTTCCTCTGCCTCGCCCTCCCACTTGTGCCTGCAGTCTCTGTCTCTCAAATAAATGAAATCTTTAAAAAAAAAAAGGCAAGGCCAAGGTAAAAGAAAGAAAATAATAGTCTTGGTTGTGATGGCCTACCACCCTTCACTACCATTCTTTACAATGTCGGTGCCAATCCCTACCTCCTAGGCAAATGTTCAATATCTTAAGACCCATTATGTTGGAAAATGTCAAGCATTCTGAAGAATCCTGAATAGAGACATAGTTTCAGAGAATTCCAGTGGTGTTAAACCTGGGACATTTACCTGATCCTGGCTTAAATTGTTACTGGTTTGATGACTGAAAAGTCCTTGATGCTACTGGTCCCTGATGGCAAAAATTCAGACGTCAGTAGAGGTAATATTTTGGAGCAAAGCATCTTGAATTGCCACAAAATCATATGACCATGGCTACTAGGGAGTTTTGAGTTAGACTAACCCATTACAAGCACCGTCCAATAGAACTTCCTGCAATGATGGCAGTGTTCTGTGCCTATGCTGTCCAGTGCCATGGCCCCGGGCCATACGTGGCTCTGTGCACTTGAAATGTGGCAGGTGTGCCTGAGATGAGTTTTTAATTTTACTTAATGGCAGTTGTTTAGATTTAAGTAGCTACGTGTGGTTAGCAGTTATGTGATTGGACGGAGCCACTTTACATAAGGACCAGCCTGGCTCCTGGGCTCTGGGGCCCACTTCTTCTCTCAGATAGAATCGCTCAGACTTCAGCTGTAGGGTCAAGGATAAGTTTTGCTACAAATCTAGCTCTTGGTTGTTGCCTCAGAAATGTGCACAGGTGATTCGCATGTGGGTTGTTTGCAGATCACACCTGGAGAAGATGTGCGGCTAGAAATGTGGGTACCATGAGTTTACTGTTTGGCATTTGGTTCCTTTGGTTCCAAATTGTAGTATATGCATCAAAATCACCCAAAGGGCTTGGTAACTAGCACACGAGTTGCTGCACTCCGCCCCCACCCCAGAGATTGTGCCTCAGTAGGTCATTGGGCTACCACACGAAAATCTGCATTGCAAACAAGTTTTCAGGTGACTCTGATGCTAGCCCACTTTGAGCCTTGGACCAAGCCCCTATTTCAGACCCTAGTTCCAGTAACCCAGTTCTTGCTTTACTCCGTCCTACGTGACTCCTTTTAAAAACCCCTTCAAGGGTGCCCTGGTGGCTCAGTCACTTAAGCATCTACCTTCAGCTCAGGTCATGATCCCAGGGTCCTGGGATCCAGTCCCACATCCGGCTCCCTGCTCAGCGGGGAACCTACTTCTCCCTCTACCCTTCCCCCATGCTCATGATCTCTCTCTCTCCCTCTTTCTCAAATAAATAAGTAAAAAAAGAAATCCTTTCAAAATAATCCAATTTCTCTGGACCTAGAGACTTTCTCTCACCAGTTCTCCCATGAGCTGAAGTAGTACCCTGAACCCCAGTATCTGTGACCTCACTTCCACACCTCCCAGTTGCATGCCTGGAATCCTGCTCTGCTTTCCTTGGTGTTAGGCTCTCCTTGACTTTGTATGGTTGCTGTCTTTGGACTTCTCTCTCACTAGCTCCCTACCACTGACGGCTTCTTCGTAGTGCTTAGTATTGAAACTTACCTAAATGCTTCCCCCACCCCAACAGGCCTGTCTGGTGCCCACGTCTCAGCCCCCGCCTGGCTTGTCCCTTGCCCTCTGGGCTCCAATTTTGACACACCATTAATAGAGAGTACCTGCCAAGGGAATTGGCCTGGTTTGGCATCTTTCCCACCAACAACTCGAGTGAGGTCGTTGAGCGGTTGGGTAAGGTTCTCGGAAGTTTTTTCCGCTTCAGTGGAATTTTCATAGTCCATATTGGAAAAAAAAGTTTCAGCACGGGTGCGTGTCGTAGAAATGTGTGGGACAGAAACTCTTCCACATGGAAACGGCACTAGAAACATGGGAAAGGAAATTTAGCATTCTAATATTCCTCATTGGCAAGCAAAGCATGTTTTACAGAAATCAAGAATGAGGCCTGTCCTTGTCACTTCTGAGAAGCAGGCCCATCAATATTTTAAAAATCTAATCAATGAATATAGTCTCAAACTAAAAGGTTAATTGCATTATTTTCATGGAAAGTTTTCAAACCCTTCATGAAAAGAACATTTGGCTCAGGAATCCATCATCTTTACGGAAATAGAATAGGTGTTCCAGAATCAAATTTTGTAAGTTTTATAAAGTCTAATGATTTTTTTTTCTTTACTAAAAAGTCTTACTCCCAAGTACTGTCCTTAAATGGGCTTCTGAGACTGGTGCCCCATAACTTTAACTTTAAAGTTAGGTAAATGGGGTTTCTGTTGCTTTATTGGGAACCAGGCTTTTTTTCGTAGACTAGAATACCATCTAGTCTCTAAGGTAGATTTAGGGATATGCTGGGAAGAAATCATGATTTAACTATTTAATTAGGAACTGAATAAATGAATGGGGGGGCGCCTGGCTGGCTCAGTTGGAAGAGCACGCAGCTCTTGGTGGTTGGGTTGTGAGTTTGAGTCCCACGTTGGGTGTGACTTAAACTTAAAAAACCCATAGACCTTTAACCAAGGAAATTATTAATGTGATTATCACAGCCACATACTCCTGGGAACTGGCCACCTTTTTACCTTGGGTCAGTTCATTTCCTAAAGGCAAGAAATCATCTCCTGCTATGTTGGGGCCAACCAGAACGGAAATTTGTAGTCAAGCCAAGTCACCTTACATTTCATTTTCATTTCTCACTTTGCTTCTAGCCACATTCCTTATAACAGACATTTCTATAACAACCAGCTGCAGCAAAGTATCATGAAGACAGCATGTGGTTGGGAAAACAGGAAATTAGTTCAAAATACTTATGTATAAATATATATCATCAACAATGCCAGAGGAAAGGGACCATTACTATTGAAAGGCAGGAAAGCTTATTTTAGGTTTGGCCTACTTACTCTGCTAAGAATAAGGCTATATTCAAATATAACACTTAATAGTTCGAGATGGTTCGCAATCCTTTTTTTTTTTTTTTCTAACATAGAAGGGCTTTTAAGAGCTTAGCTACTATGCCCTCTGTCTACACTGGAAGTTAGATTTTGAAGGTTAAAACATATAGATCTTCTTCTCCGGAGCTGGGCTGGCTGTGAAACGATTCATGTGAAGAACCAGGCAGAAGGACAGGGTGGGTAGGTCCCTGAAGCATTAAACTCTTTTAGCTGCAGTGGCATGTATACTCATGGCTTCTGGTCCTTTCTTTAATTTCCTCTGCCAGGTGCTTTGGTGAGATAGGTATCGAACCCAGTTACAGAGGAATGATGCATGATTTAATGTACCAATTTAATACCAGACTTTGCAAATGCAAAAGAAATTATATCTAGTTTGCTTCAAAAAGGCCCCTCATTTATCAAATATAATTGATCTTGCGGAACCTACTGTTGTGTGTGTGTGTGTTTATCAAAGTTTCTATTGCCTTCATTTCAGAGACAAGCAATATGAGTGTGGAGTGGAGATATTCTGAATGCCCCAGTCAGCTGTCAACGTGGTAGCCTGGTTGACATGACTGGGAAACGTTGTTTTGTCCACGGCTGTCCAGACTGTGTTGGTCAGCCTGGCACAACCTGAAGTAGATGGCTGTCAGAACTATTTGGATGCCAAGTGTGTAAACTCAGCCCCGTGTAAACTCAGGCCGAGACCCAAGGATAGGAAATAACCTTCTTGGAGTAAGCCAGCCACACCCTGGCAGAATCAGGCTTAACATTTACCATCCCATGTACTAGAAGCCTATCAGTCAATCCTTTATGTATCTTTTATGGCCTGGGATTGCTATCATAATTTGACTCGATGAATTCCAGATATACAGAAATCATGCAAATTGATTGCTTCGTGATCTAAAAGCCAGAAAAAAGAAATGGACCCAGAAAAGATTTCAGACTGAGGACAGTTACAGAGTTTCTATTTAAAATGGCGATGCCATTTAGAAAGTTACCCAATTCGAGCTACTAATCTTTTCTGTGATCTCAAAAGGAAGTAGACACGAATAGGGATTATATAATTATATATAATTATATATTATATAGATTTGGAGGATGGATCTCCCCAGGCTTAAAAAACAAACAAACAAAAAACAACTGATTTAGATTTTGACCTGCTGGTTCACAGGACCTCCGGTCTTCCGCAAGTTGGTACCCCATGGTACAGGAGCAAACCACCTTGTTATCGGGGCCCAGTTTACAAAACTGGTTGCATCTGCCATTCTTAATGTTGCATGTTACATCTGAAAGAGAGCAAAATAAACAGCAGTAGCATCATTTCCACGTGCATTTCTCAAGAGTGCCAGAAGCCACTGACTCACGTATAGGCCACACATAAGCACAGGTCATTCATGGAGAGAAGCTTGGGAGCCTCGAGCTAAGAGTGGAAGGAATGATAAAATTCTTAATAAGGCATAAAAATGGCAGCAATAGATTTGATTTGGCATAAACTGAAGGTTTGGGTGTTCTACTTTCACTAAATCTTGGACTGCAATTTTAAGAAGCTGTTTATGAAAGGATAATATATATTCAGGGATGTCCCTCAAAACTTCAGGGTGAATTTTCGCCAAGTGTGTGCACCTGTTTAAACTAATCGATGGATGGGCCATTATCCCCATCCCAGAAGTTCTCCCCGTGCCCCCTTCCAGCCCTATACTGGTCCTCCTTTCCAAAGTTACCATCCGTTAACAGATTCTAAGAGTAAATTTTGCCTGTTCATGAACCTTGTATAAATAGAAGCTTGCCATATGCACTCCTCGGTGTCTTTCATTGAAGGCTTTGTGAGTTTTATCCATGTTTTTTGTACAGCAGTGGTTCATTTGCATGCTGGGTAGTATTCCATGGTGTAAATATTTCTGTTTTTATCCATTTTACTGTTGATGAATATTTGAGTTGAGTTTCCAGTTTTTGGCTCTTAGGTGTAATGCTATAATGAACATTCTTAATACAGATCTTTTGATAATATACGTGTGAGTCCTGGGTATATACTTATGAGTGCAATTACTGGGTCATAGGTTCAGGTTTAGTAGATACTGCCAAGCAGTTTTCTGAAATACTTGTACAAATTTAATTTCCTACCATCAGTGCCTGAGGGTTCCAGTTCTTGGACATACTTTTTGCTGGTTTCTTCTCCCACTCTGACTTGCCTTTTTTGTCCTAAAATAGTGTATTTTGCTGAATAGAAGTTCGTAGGTTTTTTAATGTATTATTGATTGATTTGAGAGAGGTGAGAGCACAAGCAGGGGGAACAGCAGGCAGAGGGAGAGGGAGAAGCAGGCTTCCCGCTGAGCAGGGAGCCCGATGCGGGGCTCGATCCCGGGATCATGACCTGAGCTGAAGGCAGATAGATGCTGAGCTGACTGAGCCACCCAGGCACCCTCACAGTTTTGTTTTTGTTTTTGTTTTTAGATTTTATTTATTTTAGAGGGGGAGAGAAAAAAATCTCGAGTAGACTTCCTGCTGAGTGTGGAGCCAGTACTGGGCTTGATCTCGTGAACCTGAGATCATGACCTGAGCGGAAATCGAGAGTTAACTGCCTGAGCCACCCAGGCACCCCACTGAAGTTCATGGCTTTAATGTAAGCCAATTTATCTAAGCACACTTGAAGCTGGCTGCGGTAGGTTTATATCAACATTAGAGAATGAAATCAGGTCCCTTAAGGGGGCTAAATGCCAAACACATTATGTGTGGGCACTGATGAGCATTCTAGTGGCCCACATTTTCTTTACTTTCTGGTATGATCTCCCTTATTAACATGAAGTGGTGTTCTTTGTCTCTTGTGATCCTTTTTGTCTTGGATTCTATTTTGCCTGATGTTAAGATCGCTTCACCAGTTTCTTTTTGTTACCATTTACCTGAAGATCTTTTTACATCCCTTTATTTTAGCCTCCTGGTGTAATTTTATTCTAGGTACCTCTTTTGTCAACAGCATACAGTTAGATTTTTAACTCCAGACTGAAAATTGCCATTAACCCCGGTTCACATTAACTCTGACTTCTGATCTATTTGGTTCATTCCTGCCATCTTATTTTGTATTTTTTAATGACTGTGTTTTTCTTTGTTTCTCATGTGCAGTCTCGATAACAGGAGGTAGCATGGTTCAGGGCTGGCCAGCAGAGACCTGCTGAGTTAAGAGAAACAGGGCTCTGTCTGCCCTTGGGCCTGTTTCTGTCTCTAGAGCAGCACAGGGACACATGGAGAGGAGATGCCGTCCCCCTCACCTAGCTGTTCAACAGCAGTACCACTTTCAAGAGAAACGCTCACTTGTCAGTGTAGTGAGGACATGGAAGGTTTGAAAAAGCGTGACTCTATTAGACGCCTGCTGTGTTTCTTAGTTCCTCAGTTCCTCCCAGCCACACGGTGTCTTTGCTGGCGCTGTGGCCATCCGCTCTGCATCTGACTTCTGACTCAAGCAGGTGCAGCCTTGGGTTGCCTCGGCTCCTATCTGCACTGTGTGCCTCTCCCCTCTGACCTTGGTGCTTCCCTGTTGATGCCGAAGCATGGGATGTCGCGTCCCCTGTGCAGCAGCCCTGGCGAGTACAGCTTGGAGATGTGGGGGGGGGGGAGTTAATGGCCCCTGGGCTAAACTTCTGACCACTGGGAGACACAAATTCTCTCACTATCTCCCCTCCCAGAGGGGCTGTCCTGAGGCCAGTTCCTATGGCTCCTTGGGAAACAGTCTCAGGAGGTCCAGCGATCAGCTGCAGATGAGGAGAGATGACTCCTTCTATGATCAATTCTCCTCTCCTCACTGCCTCACACCCCTGTCCCTTACTCTTGCTCCATAGGATTGCACAACCTCGTAAACAAGTTCGAGTCACAGACTCTTTTTTCCCTCCCTGGGGGAATCCAGGCTCACAGAGTGACCACATGGTTTTGGAGTATATTATGGATTTTTGAGTGTCGGATCTCAATTTTCAAATGCTATTTTATAGGGGCTAACATCGGTTAATGTAATAATTTGCTCATGTGCCTTACCGTTATTTCAGGAATTAAGGGGAGGCAAATCGACTGTTGTCAGGTAGGCAAAGGAACCTCCCTGAGCTTTAACCTGTGTTGCCAATAATCTACTAAGGGCGTGATCCAAAAAGATGGCACTTGGTCCTTCGTATTTATTTTTAAAAGATCTTTCTCCTTACTCATGGTGATTACATCCCTGGCTCTTTTCATGTTATTGGCTATCACTTTGTTGTTACAAAGCAATACTAAAGTGTTCAGCCGGATCAGATACCACCTGTAGAAGGTGTTCAGTCGGTATGAGATTGTGGTCAGTTTCCAGAGGTAGGTGGTAGGTGCAGCCTGCTGGGGTTCAGGGCACGTGCCGTGGGAATGAATAAACTCAGGGTGGTTTTCCCAATTCTGATTTTTGTCCTTGGCTAAGTTACGAGACCTGTCTGTCATTTTCCTCATTCGTCATTTTTCTTCCTGGTTTGGGTTATGTGTGCAGTGCGAAATATTGCCGTCCAATCAGCAGTCTTTTGCTCTCAGAGAAAGGACTCAAGATTCTGGAAGTAGAATAGTAGCACACGGAGTTTCACGGGGGAGGTCCGTAACCCAGGATCTAAGGAACAGTCACTATGGGACTCATTCATCAGTGTGTTATTGAGCATTTAAATGTTTGGCATTGTGTTGGGTGTGGGTTCTCCCTGGTCCCAAGGTCGGTCTCTGTGCCTGGAATATCTGTTGAGCCTCTCAAAGCATCTGCTCTTTTTTCCCTTCATATTAGCCCAAACACCTCTTTCTAATTCCACTCAGGCCTACTACCAAAGTTATCCTGTTCTGCTTTCTTTGACTCTGCCTTCACCTTCCCTCATATATTCAGTCATGTGAACACCAGAGCTCAGACAAAAGATGTTCTATTTGACCAGCTTACCATAGAATATGCTGGTAGTTAGCTAAACTCAAGATATTTTCTTTTCTCCAGTCCACAGCAATACTCAGTAAATAAGAGTGTGATGTCTACAACAATGTGTCAGCAAAGTGTAAAAAGTGTTTAGGTGCTTGTGATTTTTTCTGTGGGTAGATGCCTCTTGTACTCTTTAGACAGGACAGGAATGACCCAAGTTCTTACAGCCCTTGATCTGTCTGGCAAGGTCTCAGACCTGATGTGTAAGTGGGGACCCACAGCGGTCATTATTCTAACCACAGGGACGCAGTGACCAATCCATTGTTATTCTTTTAACTAGAGAACAGGCCTTGAGTGTTTGTACCTCCTTCTCCCAGACAGGAGCCTGATGAACAAGGGAAAAGGCAAATAACAAGTTCTTAACAATGGAAATCTCCGTGGCCCCCACTTTTTTTTTTTTTTTTCCAAAGACAAGGGCGAGGCAAGAAATTTGGGGCATCGATGCTCTGTAAACTGTGTCGTCTAGCAGCCTTTGAGGTCAGTCTGCTGATCAGTTTGAAGCAACAGCTTACATGGGAGTTTGTATACGCTTCTGCTTTCCCCTTGTCTGAGATAAAAAGATTTTTGGGAGAATTCCCACTCTGTCTCTGAACCAACTGCAGCAAGAGGATTTTTCTCAACCTGGATCAGGGAGGCTGGGGGAGAGCGAGGCTCCCTAGAGGCCAGATACGGTGGTCAAAGCAAGGGCAACAGCAGAGCCCTTCCCAGACCAAAGTGTGCGGAACCTGAGGCCACCGTAGACTTACTTCCGCTGTGTGCCCCACAGCCTCGCACGGGGTGCAAACCCTGTTATAGAAAGTCTCTGCTTATATTACATTCCTCAGGGCAATTCTCCTCCATTAGAGTGTCTTCATTTAAACTAAAGACATTTAGAAATATTTAAGGCTCAACAATATTTTTAAACAATTGCTCCTAATTTTATTTCATTTTGTTTATTTTTTTAAAAGTAAGTTCTGCGCCCACCGTGGGGCTTGAACTCATAACACTCTACCCACTGAGCCCGCCAGGCGCCTCGCTAAACACTATTTTCATTTACGCTATACTACAATGTGCCCTTGGTTTTGAACCGAGACTAACTGAGGTAATTCGTTCCCTCAGCTCCAATGGCTATGTTATTTAAGCTGATAATAAGTAACGACTCCAAAGATTTCCCTCAGTTTCCATAATAGCAGGATCAGATTTATCTATGGAAATCTCAATTTGAAATTGGAACCTTCCAGGTGGAAGTAGCACTGCAGAGATCTTGCACGAGTTACCACACCCACAGGAAAGGCAACAGAGGCGCTGGTTTGCCCCCATGCTCGGAAATCTGAGGGAATGGGGGTCCGAGCTGGGGGTACCGGTTCATCCACCTGTATCCGTTCTTTTCTTTCTTTTTAAATGTTATTACGCTGCCACCTTTTCCTTTTGTTATCTTCTATTCTCTTTTTGTCTTTTAGCTCTCAAAGGGAGATGATCAATGGGGTCCTCTTTAGTCCCAAAAAGATTTCTGAACAACATTACAGGTGACTTCTTTTTCCTTTCTCTGTAGGACAGCTGCCACTGCTGAGTTTCATTTTGTTTTATGCCTCTTTCATCTGTGTCGGGTGCATTGTTGGCAAGTCTTAATATATAGAGTCCTGCCAGTTTTCTACTCTTTGCTCTTAGTCAGGTAGCCTGTGCTGTTAAATTCTTTCCCTAGAATAGCATCTCCATTCATCTGGAGTTTCAGGAGAGAGAGGGAGACTCTGTCATTAGCATGGTGTGCCTTTCACAACCATAAAACCAGTAATCTTGCATCCAGAAATAATAAGCAAGTAGGAGAAGGACTTGGGGATTTACTGCTCCAATTGCCAAAATCCCAAGGGGGGAGAATATTCTAGGCTATGAGGAGGAAAGAGGCACCGTGCTCCTAAATTTGCCATGTAACTTTTTTAGTGTAATCCACATAGTGAAATGCAGGCGTGAGCTCCGATTTTTGTCAACAAATTTAACATGGGAAGTGGTTACTGTGTGTAGAGAAGTGCCTGTTTGATGGAGAATTGGCCTCGCCATTTCTCAATTCTATATTTCACTGATTTCCACTGCCTATGTTGATAACGATTTAGTCCTGAGTTCAAACAATTTTATGGGTTCGGTTTTCTTTGCATTTTGTAGATAGAGGTGTGGGTTTTGGTCAGACCAACTAAAGTTCAGGTTCAGGCTCAGCCATTGATAGCCTCTGTGATTTTGAGCTATCTGAGCTATATAATTTCTTCATCTGCACAGAATGGAGACAATAATGGCACTGAGGGCCTACGGTTGTACTGAGGATTAATAAATGAGGGGAGCGTCATTATTCCTTAATATTAGCTGCCATATATTAATTACTGTTGCTCTTTCTGTGGTTTCTTGAACTCATCCAAGAAACTAGGACTACACATCAAATGAATGTTCATAAGCTTGGAAAGTATATGCTTTACATGGCGCAACATTATTCAGCCTTTTGAAAAAAAGAAACCCTGTCCTGTGCAACAGCACGGATGAACCTGGAGTACATTACACTAAAGGAGACAAGCCAGTCACAGAAGGACAAACACTGCATGATTCTACTTATTTGAGGTGTCGAAAATAGGCAGACACATAGAAACAGAGAACACAGTTGTGCTTGCCAGGGGCCGAGGGAAAGAGAAATGGGGGAGCTGCTGTTCAGCCGGTATAAACTTTAAGTTATGCAAGATGTAGGCCTTCTGGAGAGGTGCTGTACTGTAAGCTTCAAAATTTGTTACAAGTAAAGATCTCCTGGGGCATCTGGGTGGCTCAGTAAGCTAAGCGTCTGCCTTTGGCTCAGGTCCTGATCTCAGGGTCTTGGGATCCAGCCCTTCGTGGGGCTCCCTGCTCAGCAAGGAGTCACCTTCTCCCTTTCCCTCTGCCCCTCCCCTTGCTCGTGTTCTCCCTCTGTCTCTCAAGTAAATAAAATCTTAAAAAAAAAAGAGTATAGATCTCCTGTTAAGTGTCCTTTACCGCAATAAGAATATGTTTTTAAGAGAAAATTATGATACATAAATATTGCACTTTCCGGTTTCATCTGGTTCCACAGGAAAATGTGGAACCACGAGTAATCAAAAAGTGGTTACTTACCTACTTCACAGTTCTTTCCTTCAAATCCGACTTGACACCAGCACTCATAGGAATTGATGTCATCTTTGCATATGCCACCATTTAAACATGGATCGGACTCACATTGATCTCCATCTTTGAGAAAGGTTAAGAAAGTTAAATTAGCAAATCAGGTGCTTCGAATGCCTCTGTGCACAGACTTCTGGGGAGGGGAGCCTGATTTTCGGGTCAGAACTGCTGACGCTGCTGTTTAGGGGTTGCCCCCATCTTCCTGAATTTCCAAGAACAACCCGAACAAAGGTTCTTAGGCTACTACTGTCCTAGGAAGTTGCTCTGAGGAAGGCAGTTTATGCAATCAAGGGAAGAGGAAGAGGGAGAAGAAAGTCTGAGGTTAGACATGGACTATATGTGCCCGGGGGAAAAGGGTTTGCATTCCTTTCTTCGAGAACGATGACAAGTTGGTTCTAAACCACATCCCAGCGCTTCATCAGTTGGTAACTCTGTGTCATGCAGGGCCCACTACGGTAGGTCTTGCAGAACATGCGAGCTGGGGAGCAGATGGTACTTCCCCTCAGAGAACTGGCAGCCTCAGCTCGGAGCAAATGCCTCTACTTCCTTCTGGTATCATTAACTTTTTTAAAGTATAGTATGCAGTCATGGTTCGAGACAATGGAAGAGCCGCCAGAAGCGTCTCTCCCTGCTAAAAGAGACTCTGCTGTCTCGACTTAGGTCCCCAGTGGTCTAGGTAAAGTGAGAAGCAGCTTTTCTTTTTTTAAAAAAAATATTTGGCTGGGTGGTGAACATTGGGGAGGGCATGTGCTATGGTGAGTGCTGTGAAATGTGTAAGCCTGATGATTTACACACCTGTGCCCCTGGGGCGAAATAATACATTATATGTTAATAAAAAATTGTTTTTAAAGTCGTAATTTTTAAAATTTTATTTTTTAAAAATTTTACTTTTATATTTAATCTGCAAAATAATACATTATATGTTAATAAAAATTGTTTTTAAAGTTGTGAATTTGAAAATTTTATTTTTTAAAAAATTTATTTTTATATTTTATTTGCCAAATAATACATTACATGTTAATAAAATTGTTTTTAAAGTTGTAATTTTTAAAATTTTTTTTAAAAAATTTTATTTTTATATTTAATCTGCAAAATAATACCTTACATGGTAATAAAAATTGTTTTTAAAGTTGTAGTTTTTAAAATTTATTTTATTTTAAAAATTTTTTAAAAGTTTTAATTTTAATTCCTGTTAGTTGACAAAACACTGTTATATTAGTTTCAGGTGAGAAACCACTTTTCCCACAAACAATTGAAAAGGAAAAGGTTCTGAAGTTCTGCTTTATTTATGTGTAAATTGGCTGTATTTCCTCTCTGCTTTTCCTGAAGTTTCTATATTCATAGAGTTCTTGAGAGCCTTAGAAGACACCTGTGGTAGAAAACCATGAGGAAGGAACAGGCAAGAGGGGAAGGGTCAGGATGAGAAGGGAAGCTTTGAGTCTGGTTTCTGAAAGCTCCTGCTCCATCCATACTTCTAAGGAAGCTGCTGGAGAAAGGGATGAATAGAACCAGAAGGGCGCCAGGTACACACTCGGAGCTAAAAGAAACAGCCCTGAAGACAAAATAAGAGCTAGGACAGCAAGAGTAAGAGGTCAAGATGGCCTAGCAATGAAAGAAAGAGAAAAGGGGAAATGAAAGAGAAATTTCTAATTCTCGGTCCTACTTTGGAGCAAACCTTCCCCTTCCCCCTTCTAGCGGGGAGGTTGCTCGTAGGAGGGGGAGGCAGGGCTCACCTGTCACACTCGGTCAGTAGGACGCGTCTAGCTCCTGTTGACTGAGGGCTCCTATCCCTTTCTCAGAAATAGTCCCTCCCTGGAAAATCTGCTTGCCATAAAGACTAGACCCTGTCCCCTCTGCCCCTTGACCCACTGTGCTTTTGCCCAGATAGTTCAATTTGTTCCAATTCTATGAAAACAAAATACGTTATCTCTGGTTTATTATTACTGATGTTCAAACTGGTCTAAAAAACGAGCTACATTTGCACTTTATATTATAGACCAGCGGATCTGAATTATTTAGGATGTTTCACTGAAAGGGTCTGGGCTTGCAGCCAGCTACACAGCAACTCATTTGCTGAGACATAGCTTTAAAACGAGTGTCATTTTATCCCGCATTTAGTCCTCCTTTGGGTGCTTGTGTGTGTGTACTTTGGGCTCAGCCGAAGCCACCGACAGTAGGGATCAAAGACAACAAGGGACAAGGCCTTTCAAGTGAGAGCTTCCGGTTGTTGTTTAATGAGTAACAGCCCCCGGATCTGAAGGCTGGGAGGGGTGATGGTGAGAGCAAGGGCTCGCTCTTTCGAGAACTTAGGTTCCCTTCTGGGCTCTGTGACTCTCCAACTGGATGACCTTTGGCAAGTCTTGAGCCTCCCTAAGCCTCCGTGTCCCCTGTAAACTGAGGTTGATAATGCTCCGCTTGCTGGATTGGTGTGTGGATGAAATAGGGCAGGCGCTCTGTAAACCGTCAAGAGCTTGACGGCCGCTGGCTCATGTGCCTGGACGATCTTTCTTTCTTCAGCCAGGCCGTTGATAGTAGAGGATAAGGTGGGTGTGAGGGGCATGCACCTGGCAGTATGTGGAACACCATCAGCTCTTTTGGGGTGGTTAGGAAACTTGGCCGCAACTGAAAAGAGGCGGGGAGCTATTTTCTTCTTGCTCTTTGTTCTGGTTTTTGGAGGATGAAGCAGTAGTGACCGAATCATGCCACTGAGGTTTCTGAGATATCTTTATCCTGGATTCGGTAAACAACATGGCCTTTGACCTAGAAGGCAGGGGCTCAGCTTCAAAATATAGTGCTTAGGGGGTTCTGACCAACCCCTGCTGGGGAGTGGGGTGGGCAATGAACAGGTCATGGGAATTTAAATACAGCCCGGAGTTTGTGGAGGCGGGTGGGGAAGTAGAAATTGATTTGCTTTAAAAATCTATCACAAGGGGCAGCTGACTGGCTCAAGTCGGTGGCATGTGTGACTTCCGATCTCGGGGCTGTGGGTTCAAGCCCCGTGTTGGGGGTAGAGATTACTTAAAAAGAAAATCTTAAAAAAAATCACAAGATTTAAGGTTTTAAATTTAATGGAAATAAGGACTAAAAAGACTCATTTGGACTAACTGCTGGGGACTACCTGAGGAGAGCATTGGCCTGGTAGCCTGCATTACTAAAAGTAAGGAAAGGCCGAGAAAGTAAATGTAATGGAGTGGACTTCCTCCTCCCTCAGGAGTTAAAAATAGAAGTGGAGAAATTGAGTTACTGGAGTATGAACAAGTTCCAGAATAGCAAGTGGAACCTAGCACTGGATCTCCAATTGCTGGAACTCAATGAATTTGCCGTCTAGGTTCTGTCCATGCAGATGGTCTCGCATAAGCCAACTTCTGGAACGGCTGCTGCCTCAATATCCTGCTGCTGGATTTTACATTAGTTTCAAAGCTCAGCTGTCATGGAAGTTTTGACTTTTCCTCCGTTTGGTCAATTCATTCAACAAATATTTACTCAGTGCTTCTGGATCAGGTAATGTTCGAGGTACTGTTTACATCAGTAAAACACTTGAACACCCTTGCCAGTGTGAAGCTTGAATTCTAATGAGGTGGGGAAAATGGATAATAAATTGTGGAAGTAAGAAGGTTTATTATATGTCACCTGCACTGGTGAAAAGTGCTGTGAAAAATAGGAGGAGTTTGTGGTACCTCAGTGATGCGGTTATGGGGAGGCGGGTTGAAGTACTAACAGGTAAGCAAGCTAGGCTTCATTGAGATGGTGACATTTGGGTGAAGAGCTGAAGGAGGGGAGGGAGCGAGCCTAGGCGAACTTGGAAGAGGAGCATTCCAAGTTCAAGGAACAGTCAGGTGAGAGACCAAAGCGGAAGCAGGCCTGGAGTGTGCGGGGAGCAGCAGGGAGGCCAAGATGGCTGCCCCCGTCCTCCCCCCACAGCCTCCCTCCCCACCCCCGCCCTGCATGTGAGGAGGAGAGCAGGAGGAGAGAGTCTGAGGGCCAGTGGAAAAGGAGGGCCAGAACAATCATGGAGGGCCTCATAGGCTATCATAAGGGGGAGGACTTCTAAACAGTAAACATTTAAGTGAGTCAGCATTTTCACATTCTCTACCAAAGACTGAAAATTCTCAAACTCAGTCTCCAGGTGCACTCATCTTAGTTCCCTCCTTCCAGCTGCGTAGGGTGCGACAATGTCTTCTTGAAGCCCTCGGGAGGAGGAAGCCTATCTGCCAGCGGATAGCCCCCCGAGCCACCATTAACCTGTCCTATATCACCATTCAGTCTTGGGTAAAGGAGTCAGACCGTTTTTCACAGAGTTTAATCTATTGTCTGTTTATGCAGAGAAACAATACATAATTCCCAAATGTTTCCTATACCAGCTAGAGGAAAAAAATTAATTGCTTACCAACATATTGCTTCCAAAATTCAGTCTATAAAGAAAAAGAGGACAAGTTAGTGGTAGTAGTCAAAATATTTTGGATTCGATTCCTTCCCTTTATAACATTTGTCATACATATATATGGTTAGATATTTTAAAATTCCAAAGAGAAGCTTCTTTTTTTCTTTAGTTTTCTGTACTTTCCTCTGCGTCTGAAGAATATTATGTGGAAATACTCACGGTTTTTTCAGTGTTTTCAAAAACTTCTCGAGCTTCTTCAAAACTACACTTTTCTTCTATACATTCTCTCTCAAGGTTCCCTTGCACGAACTCTTCCAGTTTACCTGAATTATACCTCTTTGGCCGATTCAGAATTTTGGTGGCATTTTCGTGGTCAAGAAAAACTGAAATTTCCAAAGAACAATTCTTTAGGTTTGGGAAAAAGAAAACATCATGAAAACTAAATACATCTCTCAAGAGAGGCTTTGTTTTTAATCCAAGTAATCCCCAACCCAATTTATCTTTGGGGCACGGAGCCAAAATCTGTGATGTCCTCCTGGTACTGTATACACACAGAGATTTAGGAATTAAAATCCAATTTGGCTTTTAGTCAAGAGAGTTCCTGTAATGAAAGGTCAGATTCTCAGTCCTATTTGAATTTACTTTGGATGAGAAAGAAAGTTCTCAAATAAGCAGTTAACTTTACACTTTGTCATCATTTGCAAATAGCTAATTGCAGACCCTTGCAAGGTGACCCATGACCCCAGCTGAGCTGTGTTCTCAGGACGCGGTTGCCCAAATGACTTCCCAACAAATTTCTCTTGGAAGAACAGAAGCCTAATAACTGCGGTCCAGCTGCAAACACAACCTCAGTGTCTGTCCCTAGATGTTAGAGAAAAACCACTGCATTAATTTGTTTATCTTCAGACTCACAACACCTTCGGTTGGCATGTGTTAAGGGAATGCCGGTGACTGAAGTCTTTCTCTGGGATTTAGGATGTGACTGACTCGAGCTGTGACTGCCTAGCCTTCAGGGATGCTCCTGATTCTCTCCTTCCCTCCCTCTCTCCCCACATTCAAATCTAAGACACACACACACACACATACTCTCTCTCTCTCTCTCTCTCTCTCTCTATATATATATATATATATATATATATATATATAAATAGATATAGATATATAGATAGATAGATATAGAAAACATATCTATCTCTATAATTAATAACAGGAACTCAGGAAGTTGCTGGAGTTGTTCCTTTCGTCAGGGGACTATCTGGTACAATCTCAACAGGACCAGGTGCTTAGAAGATGAAGTTTCCAGGCATTTTGGGACTGCTTTCTCATGAATTCAAAAAAAAGAAGGAGAGGAGGAGGAAGAAGAGGAAATGGAGGAAGAAGAAGAAGAAGGAGAAGAAGAAGGAGGGGAAGGGGAAAGGAAAAGGGGAAGAGGAGGAGGAAGGAAGAAGGAGGGGGAGGGGGACTGTATTCTCTTGTTTCCATTGTAGCTGTTCACTTTATGGAGGGGGTTTGAGTCCCCTGACAACCTCGCTTTGCCCTTGCTCTGCGAGTCCCCTTGGACTTCACTTTTGTTTTTTTGAAATTTAGTTTAGACTTTTTCTCTCCAATTCTTGACAACTTTCTCCATTCCCTTCACGCCGTCCTCCATGCTGCGGTACCCGCAGTGCCAACCGCTGGGTCAGTGCGGCCATCTGCCACTGAGCACTGTGGGAGAAAACCACCAAGCTGCACAGGGGTACCGTCACACAGTGATGCCGCCCTGCCAGACCCTCCTCTCTGCTTGGCCCTGGGCAGCCCGACGATGGCATCTATGCCTGTCCCCATTTACAGTGTGACCGAGTAGAGAAACGGGTTTGCAGTCAGATCAGACACACCTGGGTTTGAATAACACATTTGCCACCTGTTGGCTGTGAGACGTCAGGCAAGTGACAAAAATCTCTGGAGCTTAACTTGGTCAAACGTAAAATGGGTCTAACAGTGGCATATAATAAGAATATTTACTTCACAGTGTTCTCAACAGGGTCCGTGAGATAATACGTGTACACGGTACATGGTGTACGCTGGTTCTCTCTCTCTCTCCCTGCCCCTCTCATGCTGGCCTGACTTCCTGTTTCTCAATTCCCTCTAACGCCTTCATACTAGTGCCTTCATACTCCATTCTAGTGCTTTTCCTGTGGCTCTTTCCCTTCTTTACTCCCATCCACATAATGGAATGACTATTGTCAGTCAGGATCAGCAAGGACTTCCTAAAGATCATTGGGAGTTTGTGTACTTGATGACGGCCCTGAAACATTTCCACTGCTTGATCTCCCACCGCCCCTCCACGGTACTCTTTCCATGAAGTCACTCTACTGGCTCCTCTCTGCTCTCTTATTATTTATCCATCACTTGAACCAGTGCCTTCCCCTTTGCCTGCCCCTTCAGTGTTCAGAGTTCCCTCAGGTTCCTGCCTATGCCTGGTCATGCAATAGTCTTGACCAGGGTGAGGTAGACAAGTCATCTAGGGAACAAAATGTGAGGAGACCCTGTGTCTCAGTGAGTGTAAGCAAGTACAGTTACACTCTAGGGACCTGCTTGCCTCCCCCTAGGCTGGCCCTAACTCTCTCAACACCGGTTTCTGAGGGCTCTCTACAGCTGGGCCTGTGCCAGCCGCCATGTTCTCCGTGCTCACTTCCGGGACCCTCATGCACACCGTGGGAGCTGCCCTTTCTGCAACAGTGGGTTCCAAATGTCCGCCTCTGGCCAGATGTCTCTTCTGAATTCCAGACCCTCTTTCCAGCTCCCCCACTGCGCATTGTCCTGCGACAAATCAGAGCTGATGTTTCTCTAATGCCTCTGAAGGGCTGGACCCTGTGCTTAGTGCTTTGGGGTCATTATTTCATTTCGTCCTCACAGCAGTCCCACGAGATAGGGACTGTCATCTCATTGTAAGCCAGAGGAATGGAGCTTCGGAGAGGTGAAGTCCCATGGCCCAGGTAACACAATGAAGTGGCAGAGCCAGGATTTCGACGTTGGTGGTCAGACTGCACAGCCCGTGCTCAGAGGTACGATGCTGTGTCCTGTAATCACATCAGATGCCCAGGACGCACCCTCCACGCTTCTCTGAACCCATTACCCTTCCACACCCAGATGGTGTCAGTGGCGGGGAGTGACGGGGACTAAAGGGTACGCATACCAGGATGAGCGTTGAGTAATGTATCCCATCGTTGAGTCGCTCACTATGTTGTACCCCCCCAAACTAATATAACACGGTATGCTACCCATACTGGAATTGAAATAAAAAACCTAATAAGAAAAAAAAAAAAAAGAATGTTGCCAAACTGAGCATTCTCAATCAGCCATCAGTGCTATTCATGTTTACGCTTCTGATGACCCAGTAATTGGGTTCTGTTGTCCAAGCTCTTTCACTACGGAACTTCATTATCTGATGACCTGACCCTGTCTTGCTATCCTACCTCACTTCTCATATTTAATATTCAAAACCTGCTGCGCTCCTGAAAGACTCTTTGTGGATCTGGATTTTTTTTAAAAGATTTTATTTATTTATTTGACAGAGAGTGAGAGAGGGAACACAAGCAGGGAGAGTGGGAGAGGGAGAAACACGCTCCTCATGGAGCAGGAAGCCCAATGCAGGGCTCAATCCCAGGACCCTGGGATCATGATCTGAGCCTAAGGCAGATGCTTAATGCTGAGCCACCCAGGCATCCCTGGATCTGGATCTTTGTACACATGTGATTCTCTCTGTGTGTAATGCCCTAGATCAGACAGGGAGGGGGACCTACTCATCTTTTAGGACCCAGCCCAAGATACTGTCTGTCAAGTGTTTTCCCAGTTAACATACTCCTTTCTCTGTGGTCTTTTAGCACCTGGCACACATTTTGTCACCGTACCTTGAAATCTCTCACCTGACTTCGTGGTGCTTTAGGTCAGAGAGGGAGTCTGGCTTATCCCTGTGCCCTGATACCTCACCCCAGCACCTGGCCCCATAGTAGTCGCTCGGTTTTGTCAAGTTCTGTAAAGTGTATGGACCGAAGTTATCTTTCATTCATTCGTTCATTTCATGCATTCATTCGGAACGAAAGACACCTCAGCCCATACACCTTATAAAACTGAATGGTTTCACAGACAGTTTTGATTTCAAAATTCTAAACAGATGCAAATAATACCTGAGAGCAGCAGTCACGAAAATGTAACATCTCTGAAAGGCATTCATAGAAACAGCTTTTAGAAGCCAGTGACCGTTGAGGAGCAGAGCTGCACGAGTGCTGACTATCCTGACGGAAATTCCCCGGCTCTCTCCACAAGGGCCTGTTATCTCTGACCACAATGACTCCACAATGACACTGCCTTTCTCCTCAGTATTGTCTGAGGGTCATAGAGTTAGCCTCTCTTCGGGTTTATCTCTTCTAGCCATTATTTCCCCAGCACTGAAATCCTAGACCCTCTCCCCCCACCCCCACCATATCTTTCCTTTTCCCCAACATCTGAGGTCTTCAAGGGAGCAGCAGCCCTCTTGAAATGTCCATTATCTCACCACTTATCCTGAAGGAAGGGCTTGCATCTATCGTCCTCCTAGGTCTCACACGGATGAGATATGTGTAAAGACTTAGCTTTATGTCCTATTTTGTGAAATTTCCAGCTAAATTTCTTTATTTCTCCACTTTACCCACTTGGCTAGTTTGATTTAACCTTTGCGTTCTCAGATCATCATTTCTGCATTTCAGTCTGACATCATGTCTGGAATGGGAAACACGGGGCCACTCTGTTTTCCGGGGACCCTTAGGGTTGGCACCCCTGATCCCGGCACTGTCAGCCACTAGATTTGATTATAGTAGGTTGACAAGTAAGGGTGATAAATGCTTCCTGTGAGAACACACTGTTTGCCTAAATGGGGTAATTTCCTCCCTGTGTGCCTGCTTTTGGGAAATGCATAAAGTCACTGAAGTTGTGAAAAAAACCAAATGATAAACATTGCATTAACTAAGTTCCTACTTCTTACATCGATTCTTGGGTTTGTTTTGCTCAAGTGAGTATTGGATTTCCCCATGTAAACGGAGTTAACTCTGCTATGTTTAGAATCAGAAACAAAATAATTTTTCCTAATTCATGAAAAACTTTAGGGATAAGTAACAACTTAGTAATGAAAAGTTTGTTGTAAATAAAACTTAAAATCGTAGGTGTATGATTTTAGGGATATTTAAAATTAGAGGCTCGCCTCATTACATAGTTGTAAAATTTTGAAACACGTCAGATACCTTAAAATCAAACGTTGTGTGTAAATAAAGCCATCATTTGTGGCTTTAGTGTGACGGATCCCATTTTGATTTCAAAGTGGTGAGTTAAAAACAAACAAACCCAAAATGACAGAGTTAATGTCTTCTTCATAGTCTGCTGTTTCCTGGTTGAAACATTTTTCCCACTCTTACTTTTCTTTACCCAAGGAGGTGACTGTTTCCTAAGCAGAACTATATTGTCAAATCACAAGCCTAACAGTGTCCATTAAAAAAAAGTACCCTAAGCATTGTAGATCTATTTAGTTTTAACAGTTAAGAAGACACAGCTACCAGAAAGCCAGTATTTGCCAACCCACATGCTGACAACTAGAATCTTAAACGTTGCTGTCAAATCCTGTAATCGTTACTTAGTGGAGAAGATAGTGCCAGACATTTCTATATCTAAAAGACAAGCATGCTCAATGTGTCTTTAAAAAGGAAACAAACCTGTACATTCAGCACTGAGTAGACATCCTAAAAGGCAGATGGTGATGAGGCCCGGTGATTCTGCCATGATCCTGTTCAGGCACTGCATAACATTTGCTGACGAATTGTGCAAGTAGCAAGGTTGACCGATTGTTCCAAAGTACAAGCTGAGCTGTATTTACTTCTGGGAAACAATGTGCATCTCCCTCAGTGGGTCTTTGGTCTATTTCCAGTGGCCTCTTGGGTGAAGTGAAGAGTATAGGCAGTGTTTGTCTTTAAAACTTCACCTCTCATTCCATGGGCTTCTGTCACTGTGGCTGATTGGAGGCTGAAGCAGGAAGTGACACATCATCAGAGCAGGGTCGGGGGGAGGTGTTTAGTGGCAGCTGCTGTGGCAACAGAATTCCTCAGTGGGATCCATTTTTAACTTTGTCAGGGAGTACTAAGGTCATATAGTTTAACAGTTAAGAGACAAGGGTTCCTGGGTGGCTCAGTCGGTTAAGTCTCCAACTCTTGGTTTTGGCTCAGGTTGCGATCTCAGGGTTGTGGGGTGGAGCCCCACATTGGGCTCCATGCTCAGCACAGAGTCTGCTTGAGATTCTCTCTCCCTCTCCCTGTGCCCCTCCCTCCACTAGCATTCTTTCTGAAATAAATAAATAAATAAATAAATCTTTAAACAAAAAAGTAAAGAGACAGAACAAAGTCATTTGGTTCTACCTTAAAACATTCCCCATGCTTACCTACATTTAATCACCTGGTGGATCCTTCATGTTCCTCCTCAGAAGGAGCTTATCAACTTTCTGGTGCCACTTACCCATAGAGTGAAATGTGAGGACCCTGTCTCGGAACATATGTATGTATGTATGTATGTATGTGTGCTGTCATAACTCATTGTGTTTTAATTTGTATTTCCCCAACAGCTAATGATGTTGAATACCTTATAGTTTACTGACTCTCTGAGTATCCTCTTGAGTGAAATGTATGTTCTTGTTTTTTTGTCTATTTTCCAATAAGACTCGTATTTTACCATTCGATTTTAGAGCTTTTTAAAAAAAAATATTATAGCTATGAATCCTTTCTCAGATACATGGTTTTGCAAATACTGTCTCCAAGACCGCAGCTTATCTTTTCATCCTCGTAACTGAGTCACATAGCGAAAGTTTTAGATTTGGACGCAGTTCAATTTATCCTTTTATAAAAACTTTTACTTGTTTATTTAGCATGCATGTGAGATGGGGGAGGAGCAAAGGGCGAGAGAATCTCAAGCAGACAACACACTGAGTACTGAGCCTGACACGGGGCTTGAACTCATGGCCCCAAGATCATGACCTGAGCCTAAATCAAGAATCAGGTACTTAATCAACTGAGCCACCCAAGTGCCCCTCAGTTTATCATTTTTTAATAGATCATGCCTTAATGTCCATATTTAGAACTCTTCCACTAACGCTAATCCGGAAGCTTTTTCCCATCTAAAAAATATTTTATAGTTCCACATTTTAGATTTATTCTGGTGTGCCATTTTGAGTTAATTTTTATAAGGTATGAGGTTTAGATTGATTTTCTTTTTGGCCTGTGGATGTCTAATTCCTCTAGCACCATTTATTAAAAAGATAATCCTTGCTCTGTTGAATTGCTTGTGCAGTTTTTTCCACAGATCAGTTGAGTATATTGGTTTGGGTATATTTCCAGGTTCATCTTCTGTTCCATTGCTGCATGTGTTTATCCCTCTGCCAACCCCACACTGCCTTGATTGCTGTAAGCTTTTATATCAGGTAGAGTGATTTCTCCCACTTCAGTATTTTGTGGCAAGATTATTTGGGGGGGGGGTTACCACATAAATTTATTTTGAAGGAATGTTACAAATGAAAGAAGTTAAATAGATGTTTTGGTATAACTTACAGAAAAGGTATAAATGTAACCCAACATGCATGCATTGCCTTGGTGACCAGGGAGGTCACCCTTGAGGCTATGGGAAGACAGCCTAAGGCTTAGCTTTCATTATCACTGTTTCCCAGGGTGTGCTTGTCAGAAAGATGCTCTGCCATGCCAGATTAGGGAGCCCCCATCTTGCTCAGGTTGGTTACGTGGTCACCCAGTTCTTTGATGGATTTCACCTATTTACTCAGGTAGTGAGTCTCAGTAAAGGCCCACAAACGGCATCATTTTTTTTCAGTGGCCAGTTTGTCCAGTTCCAGTGGTGACTGACTGATGCTCTTTCCCAAGTGTAACGCACACTGCATTGCATTTGGTCCGTTTTCCCAGTAATCATGGTCCAGTTCCTTGATATCCTGAAGGAAGATTTGGCCACATGTTGGTCCTGCAGCTTCCTTAGTTTCTCAGCTCACCATCTCCTCATAAGATCAGTGAAGGAGATATTTGGCAAAGTTCTTCGAAGTCACATCTTTGTGGTCAAAGTAGTAAGACGCAGACGGGGAGACATAGGTATAGAGCTCCACGTGGGTCTGGCGATTGAGGGCAGCCTCTGAGTCCTGGTGGTAGTTCTGGTGCACCTGTAAGAGGGATGTAGTCGTCATGGCAGCCACTGAGGAGAGGCAGTGTCAAGTGGCAGTGGCTGCGTGATGCTGCAGTGGCAATGGGGGCCTTGGGACGGTCTGTGGGCACTGTGAGGAGATGGCAGAGGGTTGACTCTGAGCAGCCACCAGGGTGGGGGACAAGTGCTGGGTTCTGTCCAAGCACTGTTGAAGTAGGAAACTTCAGTGACTCTCGGTGGAGACTCAATATTCTGTGGCAAGATTGCTTTAATTATTCTGGGGCCTGTAACATTTTATATAAGCTTAAAAATAATCTTATCTGTAGTACAAAAACCTTTGCTGGAGTTTTGATAGGGATTTCATTAAACCTGTATATAAATTTGGAGGAACTGACATCTTCATTGTGTTGAGTTTTCCAGTTGATGAGTGTGGTCTGGACATGTATTTCCATTTCTTTAGGTCTTTGATTTGTTTCATCAGCATTTTGTGATTTTTAGCATATAGATTTTATATAGTTGATCCTTGAACAAGACAGGTTTGAACTGCACAGGTCCACTTACATGCAGATTTTTAAAAAGATTTTATTTGAGACAGAGCATGAGCATGAGTGATTTGACAAATTTATACATTATGCTATATTCATTGCAAGTGAAGCTGCCATCTCTCCTGATACATCACTATTACAGTATCATTGACTGTATGCCTTATGCTGTGACTTTTATTCCCATGACTTACTTATTCTGTAACTGGTAGCCTATATCTCCCACTCTCCTTTACCCATTTTGCCCAAGCCCAACCGTCTTCCTCTCTGGTAATCATCAGTTTGTTCTCTGTATTTATAGGTCAGTTTTGCTTTCTGTTTATCCTTTTTTTTTTTTTTTTTTTAGATTCTTCTAATGAGTGAAAATCCTATGGTATTTGTCTTTCTCAGTCTGACTTATTTTGCTTAGCATGATACCCTCTAGGTCCATCCATGTTGTTTCGAATGGCGCTACCTCATCATTTTTTATGGTTGCATAATATTCCATCATATATATATGTGTGTGTGTGTCTTCCTTACCCATTTGTTTACTGAAGGACACTTCAATATTGTAAATAATGCTTCAGTAAACATAGGGGTACATACATCTTTTCAAATTAGTGTTTTCATCTTCTTTGTGTAAATACCTAATAGAGGAACTATTGGTTCATATAGTATTTGTTTTTAATTTTTTGAGGACTCCATACTTTTTTTCACAGTGACTGTATTAATTTCCATTCCCATCAACAGTTCCTTTTTCTTCACATCCTTGACAACACTTGTTTCTTGTCTTTTTGATTTCAGCCATTCTGTGAGGTGTAAAGTGGTATCTCATTGTGGCTTTGATTTGCATTTCCCTGATGATGAATGATGTTGAGCATCTTTTCACATCTCTTGGCCCTCTGGATGTTGTCGTCTTAGGAAAATGTCTGTTCAAGTATCCTGCCCATTTTTAAATCAGATTGATTTTTTGGTGTTGAGTTGTATAAGTTCATTATATACTATAGATATTAACCCCTTGTCAGATATATCATTTGCAAATATCCTCTCCCAATGGATAGGTTGTCTTTTTGTTTTCTTGATGGTTTCCTTTGCTATGCTGAAGCTTTTTATTTTGAAGTAGTCCCCAAAATTACTTTTTGCTTTTGTTCTCCTTGCCTCAGGAGGCACATCTAGAAAAATGTTGCTATGGCCAGTGTCAGAGAAATTACTCTCTGTTCTCTTGTGGGATTCTTACCGTTTCAGATCTCACATTTAGGCTTTAATCCATTTTGAGTTTATTTTTGTATATGGTGTGGGAAAGTGGTCCAGTTTCATTCTTTTACATGTTGCTGTCCAGTTCTCCCAGCACCATGTAGTGAAGAGATGGTCTTTTCCCCATTGTATATTCTTGCCTCCTCTGTCATAGATTAATTGACCATATAATTGTGGGTTTATTTTGGGGCTCTTTATTCTTTTCCACTGATCTTTGTGTCTATTTTTTTCCGGTGCCATACTGGTTTGATTACTATGGCTTTGTAGTATGTCTTGAAATCTGGGATTGTGATACCTCCAGCCTTGTTTGTCTTTCACAAGATTGCTTTGGCTATTTAAGGTCTTTTTTAGTTCCATACAAATTTTGGTATTGTTTGTTCTAGGTTTGTGAAAAATGCTGTTGATATTTTGATAGTGATTGCACTGAATGTAGACTGGTTTGGGTAATGTGGACATTTTAACAATTAACAGTATTCTTCCAACCCATGATGGACTATCCTTCCACTTGTTTGTGTCATCTTCAGTTTCTTTCATCACTGCTTTATAGTTTCAGAGTAGGTCTTTCACTTCTTTGGTTAAGTTTACTCCTAAGTATTTTATTCTTTTTGGTCCAATTGTAAATGTTGTTGTTATTTTCTCTTTCTGCTACTTTGTTGTTATATACATGGATTCCTTACAGTCCTGTAAATGTATTTTTCTTAAGATTTTCTTATTAATATTTTCTTTAGCTTATTTTATTATAAGAATACAGTATAAAATACATATAACCTATAAAATACATGTTAATCAACTGTTTATGTTGTTGGTAATGCTTCAGTCAACAATAGGCTATTGGTTGTTAAGTTTTGGGGGTCTGAAAAGGTATACAGGGATTTTCAACTATGTGGGGTTTGGCATCCCTAAGCCCCATGTTGTCAGGGGTCAACTGTACATGTTTTGGTGGGTGTATATCAACGTATTTCATTTTCTTTGGAGTAATTTTAAATACTACTGTGTTTTTAATTTGTTTTCCCATACACAT